CGGGGGGGATGGCAGCATGCAGGGATGGCGGCACCCAGGGGACACACAGCAGGCAGGGATGGCAGCACCCAGGGGACATTGCACACAGGGCACGGGACACCAGGGATGGCAGCACCCAGGGGACACCAAGACACACATGGCACCAGGGATGGCAGCACCCGAGGGACACAGGACACAATGGTACCAGGGATGGTAGCACCCAGGGGACACAGGGCACAAAGAATGGCAGCACAGAGGGCACCAGGGATGGCAGCACCCAGGGGACACATGGCCCAGGGATAACAGCACATATAGGATACAGGGCACAGGGCACCAGGGATGGCAGCCCATGGGAGCAGGCATATGGGACACTGCACACTCAGCACCGGGCACATGTGGCCCCAACTATGCCAGCACCCAGGACACCAGGGACTCTGGGGATGGCAGTACATGGGTCACCAGGCACCCCCAGCTCCAGCCACATAGGACACTAGGCACCCAGGACACTGGGCACAGGGGACAACAGGCAGCCCCAGGCAAAGAGGACCCTGTACGCACAGGACGCCCAGCATCTCCAGCATGTGGGACACCAGGCATATGGGACACTGGTGGCTTAAGGTACACATGGCACAGGGGGGAGGACAACACACTGGAGGACAGAGGGGACACATGCCATAGCAGGGACCAGAATACACAGGACACCAGGTATGTGGTGCACTGGGCATGGGGAAGGGTGGTACAAGGGACACAGAGCACCAGGGATGACAGCACACCACACACGTGGAGTCCCAGGCACATGGGTGCAGGGGACACTGTGCACATGCCAGGCTCCATGACAAAACATTGGCCAAAGCAACAGCAGGCAAGGGGCACCATGCACAGCAGGCACCATGTGCAGCAACCCTGGCACCATGTATGCCAACACCAGTCCCAAGGGGCACAGCAGGCACTGGGCTTCCATACCTCACACACCGGGCACACAGCAGCCATGCCCCAGACATACCCACACCCAGCATCACTGGGCACCTGCACATTGTCATTGGCCACAGGGCACTGTGCACAGCCACGAAAGCCGGCACTGGAGTCAACGTCACTCGGCTGCTGTGTACTGCCCAGGCTGGGCGCTGCCGTGGCTTCGTCCGGTGCTTGAAGAGCAACCCCATGGCACTTCCCATTTGCTTGGCACTGTGCATCTTGCACCCGGACCTTGGACTCTTGGCACTACGATGCACCACGCACGCCTACGGTTAGAAATGACACCTCCTTTTCCCACAGGCCACACTCAGCATGGCCCTGGCTCCTAACGAACCAAATGAGCAGTTGAAGTGACCTGTGCATGATATCAAGAGCAGCAAGAAGAAATGAGGGAGGAAATTCAGCCCCAAACTAGCAATTCCCAAATGCTTCCTGGTGATTCATCCTGGTTTGGTGTTTTTTCTATAAACTGACTGGGACCTCTACTTTGGGAAAGGTGAGTGCAAAACACCCTTAGCACAGGCTACTGGGACAGGATGCCACTCAGACCTTCATTCCAACCCAGAAATGTAGGTCACCCCCGTCTCAAGGCCTTTCCTTTTATGAAGGGAACAAGGAAGGGAAATAGCCCCAAGTCTCACAACAGATCACTCTGGAGAAGTTGCACTTGGCCAACAAAAACATGATCCAGTCTACACTCCCAGTCTCGATCTTTATTAGTTACAGTTTCGGAGGGGATACAGTTTTGCTTCTAGATCTTGTTGAAAGCAGCGATGTCAACGCTCTGCACCTGAAATGGAACAAAAGCAGCAGCTAGAGGTCACCAAGGCGTTTTCAGACATTCACAACAAAGCACTCGCAGCGGGGATTTCTTCACAGCATGCACTAGCAGTGCTCAAACAGATCGAGTGTGGCCCAGGGCTCTTAGGCCAGCTCCCCAGCTGTGGTACAAGGACCTTTAAGGACTGTTATTTAATATTCCTTGCAACATTAGTCACAACAGCACACTGCACTGTGCTAGTTACTGCACAAATCTTTAGACAGTCCAGCCTACAAAGAACATCATATTAAGAGTTTCTAGCAACATTAAGATTAAAGTTCCTGATTAAATATAAGCAAAGGAGTAGGCAAAGAAGATCAATAAAAACAGGTATCTGTCCTGCTGCTCTCCCAACCAAGAGACTGGCAGCATTACTGAGCCTGCAGATTACCTGGCACAGGGCTGGAGCTCCTGCTACCATTTCCATGGAAAGATGGGGATGGAGACAACTCCTCCAGCCCGAGCTGCTAAAGTTAAATATTTGTGTGTCTACACTGGTGCTGCCCAAGCTAAGTGTTAACGCAGGGGTTCCCCAAACTAACAGTCACTGGGGGCTGGATGAGCAGCAATAGCCAGGAAAATGGCTCTACAAAACATCTGCGAGATCTCTGCATCAGCCAGCCTTAAAAAAAAAAATATTTAAATATATCATACACACATCTCAGCAGGCAAACACCATCAATTCCATGTGGTTTTCTTTTAAAAATCCAAGTTTGCCAAAATGAACCTTAGTTAAAAATGACCCTGCAGGTCAGGCATCACGAAGCACTACACAGCTCGCAGAAAGACTTACGTAGTCTTCAAACTTGGTGATCTCCTCCTCCAGGATGTCTGTTCCAACTTTGTCATCCTCCACTACGCATTGGATTTGGAGCTTCTTAATGCCATAGCCTACTGGGACCAGCTTGGAGGCTCCCCACACCAGCCCATCCATGTGGATGGACCGGACACACTCCTCCACCTTCGCCATGTCAGTCTCATCATCCCACTGGAAAAACATGAAGTGTGAACTTTAGTGTTTTCCTAGAGACCACCACTAGCCTGAAGAGGCATCCAGTGACTTAAAATTCAACATTGCACCTCTCAGTACATTTCGGCTGACCCAAGCTGCCCTTTCTTGGCTACTGTTTTCACCAGAAATTAGCTGATGGGTTAGCCAAGCTAAATCTGACTTTGCAATGTTGTGTAGCATGTTGTTTTGATTCTACCTATAAGCACTGCAGATGCAAGGGAGATTCTTCCTGCAGCAACACAATCACTTTGGAGCGCTCACTTTCAAGTGACTTTTACCAAGGGCATCTCTGAGCACTAGCCAGCCCAGAAGTTTTGTTCTACCATGACAATTTGACAAAGACAGGCTTATTCCCACCTTTAGGGCATTTATGATCTGTCTTGTCTTCACAGAAAAGGGCTAGTCCTGGTCAGGGGAACCTCAGAGAACAGCCTGTACTTTCCACAGTGCAAGAAGCAGGGCAGCAGCACAAAGGCTACAGATCCCAGCTGCAATGTCCCACCTCGCTCTGACCCTTTGTTTGGAAATCTGCAGGTCCTATCTTCACCAATCCAGCCGGATGTGCAAGTGAGATGATTTACAGCCTCCTGCAGCACAAGACATACAGCCTCACTCGGGAGCTCCCCCACTTCAGTTACTCACTGGCTTCACATCCAGAAGGATAGAAGACTTGGCAATAAGACCCGGTTTCTTGGCCTTCTTCTCTGCGTACTGACGCAGTCTCTCCTCTCGGACTTTGGCAGCCTCTTGGTCTTCCTCATCATCATCACTACCAAAAAGGTCAATGTCATCATCATCATCTTCCTCTGCAGCAGCTGGCTCAACTTTCTTTGCCAGTGAAGCAGATGGGAGCTCCACTTTCTTGGAGGGAACACTGAATGGTTCCACTTTCTTCGTTGGGGTGACGTGCATTCAAGTTTGCATTAAGGAAAAAGGGGAGAAGATTAAGCTGAAGCTAAATCAGAGCAGCACTCAGGAGAAGCTCAGGAACAGATGTCTACATTGCTCAAGACAGCGAACATGGCCCACATCACAATTTGTATGAAATTTTTCCTAATATCCAATCTAAACCTCCCCACGTGCAACTTGAGGCCACTTCCTCTTGTGGCTTCCTCTTCGTGGTCTCTTCGTGGCTCCCCCTATTACATTCTTGCAGAGGACATTTGTTAAAAAGTGTCACCAATTCTGCTTATCTATTGTAACAAAGTGGCATTTTACCTGGTGTGTGCTAAGAAACTCATAGCACCATAGGGCTAAATGCTGATCAAGTACATATTAACTCTAAAATTCCACAGATATGCACCAGCTCTCCCTAGCTGAAATCTCTAACGTAGCTTCTTTGCTGGTCTTGGGGCACAACACTACTCCGTACGCATACTTTTTGAGAAAGATGACGAGGCAGCTGCCAAAAATCCTGGAAAACTGCAACAAACTCATCCTAACGATGAGCATATCTCCATCTTCAGGCAGCCACGAGACCTTGGAAATGACCTGGCACTTTGTGAATGTGAAGCATTCGAGAACGGCACTTTGCCGAGGCTCACCTGGGTTGGAGGAACCGGTGAGGGCTGGTGGGAGGTAGATGACTTTTCCAGAGCATTCAGGCGGCTTTCCAACTTGAAGATAGCTGTCTGAAGGTCTGCAACAACTGCGAGAAGGGGGGGGGGGATCTGTGGGGGGAAGACAAAAGTGTGGAAGGAAAAACCAAGAAAGAACCTTATCATGTAGCCTCTGTATCAGCTCTCAAGTCAGAAAACATTTGCTTCTGCTCAAAATGTGCTTTAAAAACCACCAGCTGCCCCAGTCAGAGGGAAGCCTGCAAAGCTCTGATCAGGACATCGGCATGTGCTCACCTCACGACAGACAAACTCACTACAGGATACACCCCACAGGAGCGGGACCCCATCCAGTTTTGCTTTTATGCCAGAAGATTCTCCTACTTACCACTCCGAAGGTTTTGATTTTCTACCTCCAGGTGAGAAATTCTGGAAAGAAGTTCATTTTGGTCACCAGCAGGCCCAGAAGAGGTTGTGCTTGCACTCTGCAACAAGGAAAACAGATGAAACAAATCTGTTCACCTACTCCCTAGCTCAGTGGTTCAGTGAAGCAAAGCAGTCATGCCTTCAGGGAAGAAGAAAATATGAGAGCTAACCTAAGAACAAAGACGTTTTCTCTGAAGGATTTATGAAAAGAATATACTAGCTCTATAGAATGAAGCATGAAACTTATCTCGAGAAATTTCAGCTGGCACCAATAAGCAAAGGATAAAGTCATTCTTTACAGTCTCAGATCACAGACTGCCACTAAACACACAAAAAGTTTTGAAAGTTTCACACTTAGCCCCTTAAATGGGGCAGCTGGTCTCCTTTTCCAGACGAACTGAGGCACAGAGCACAGAAGTGACCTGTGAGTCACACTGCAAGTCACTGTGAAAGCTGGAAAGAGATCTTGGCATTTTTATACTCCCACCTTCCCAGTCCAGACTTTAGTTCCTCTCAAAAAACTTAAACCTACTTTAAGACACTCCAAGGGAGCAATTATACCGATCCAGCTTCAAAAGTATTTGACCAGCAAAAAAGAGCTTGCTTTTTTGTGTTTAAGGAGCCCTTATCTATACTTCAAATCAGCAGAAGGAAAGAAAATAACAGGCCTTCACACTTTACTTTAAGTGCCATTTATAACTAAATATCACAATAGAGAAAATAATTTATACTCCCTCGAGTGCACCTTGCATGTAATTATAACGTGGTTCTCTGTTGCAGGTGACACACTTCTGAGATCTCAGCAGTCACTCAAGATGGAGAGAAAGAAATAGAGGGGTTAAGATGAGGAATATGTGGCACACAGAAAGCAAGTCTGGGAGATACCTGGCCCTGGGAGACACATGGAGCAGCGTGAGCTGCTCCTAGCAGGAAGGTCAAAGAGACCCTTCTCCACTCACCCAAAAAGGGACAGAGGCCAGAGGTCAAAAGCACCATGAAATCGATCTCCAAGCAGCCTTTGCAGTGGATGCAGGCTCAGGAACACGAGTGCAGATCTGCAGTCCCCAGATGCACACCAAGCTGGGAGACCTAAATGCCCTGCTGTAAGATCCTATCATATAGGCTGAGCTACGACCACGTGCCAAAGGACAAATGTTTATCATCGTACAGAAGGAGAACTTGGTCCATCTCTCCAAGGCAAAGCTGTTCTTGCCCTACAACATCCTCTCAAATCACACAATCAGCTCCATCCATGCGCAGGTGACTTACAGTTGAGCGGCCTGACTGCCTCTTGTGACGGGCAGAAGGAGCTTCTTTACTACAAGGAACTGTCTTCGGCTGCAAAGGGCAAAAGGTTTGGAGGACGTTTGGTTCAACACAGAAGATAGAAAAAGATCTCACTCATGCTGGAAGAGGCAGTTCAAGTGCAGGAAGCAGATCCACATGCAGGACAAATTGTCAGGCAACAAGATACAGCCTCACACCAACTACACACCAAACAAAGCCTGCACAGAAGAAACATGTATCTGTGAACTCTGCCATCTTCTTGTTAAACATCTCAGTGCCTGCAGAAAGGTCACACAGCTGGGTGATAGAACTAGATGGAGATGCCTAGAGCATGGTCTTAGTCATCTCCCCATCTGTAAAATCGGAGGTGCAGCAGGTGCATGCACACTGCAGCAGGCACCACAGCCTCAGCTGGCTCTCTGGTCATTAGATAAAAATCTAATACTCAACAGATGCAGACACACATGCAAACATACCAAGACTCTTAGTAACTCCCCAATTACCACTAATGCATCTCTCCTGGAGAGGAGTAAAGCAACACACCACCAGTCTGCACTAACAATTTGATGAGACACCTGCATGGGCTTCTATCCTCACACGCACCACCAGAACAGAGGCTGCTAGCCACAGTGGGCTCATGCCACCAGGCTAGCCCTAGCCTTGTAAACCAACAACAAAAATTAAACAGACGAACTCTTTGCCTGACCTCTTCCTGTTCTAGTTACACAATCAGGGCCAAAGTCTAAGTTAATTTAGTGGAAAGTGAATTCTGGCAATAGTCATATTCATCGCCACCCCTTGAAAAAGCAATTCTTGTTTTAACTCATGATGAAACGCAGGAGCTGTCACCTGCAAAGAGACACAGCTGGATTTTTTTTCCAAAAGCAGCCTGCTGATTCAGCCAAGCAGCAAGCACCACAGATATTTGACAGTTTGAAGCCCCCATCACATTTTCAAGCCTGAAATGCTGAAGCACTTCCACAGGCTCTGTGTTTGCCCTGGCAACTGGCTACCCCACACGCGACCATGGGTGTTCAAGATGCTGCAAGATGGCTATGCTGCAGAACAACCTGCTTTTAAACCCTGGCTCCCAACTTTAGTGGAAGCATTTGCCACAGAAGCCAGCTATACCTCCACATTTCTTTTCCTTGTTAGGAGTAACCCCCCAAAGGTGAGAAATCTATTGAGGCAGTACCATCTACCTTTACACGTGTCAGCTGCCATCCTGGAGTCTCACGTGGAATAGGTCAGCACTGCTTTTCCCTGCAGTCTCACAGGAAAAAACTACAGCTTAGCAGGATGCCTCCAGCTCAAGACAAACCTGCAAGCCTTGAGTGGCTGTGTCATTTAGGGGAAAAATTTGAGGAGAAAATCATGGCCATTTTCCCAAAGAAGGCGTAGCTGTGACTTGTAGGATTTCTCCAGCTGCAAGTTGCTACTGAGGTCTCTGCAGAAATGGCAAGATTAACAACCTGGATGCACCTACAGGTTACACACCCCCAAAATTCATGTTCAGTGTTGTGCACTGGAATGAAGAGATTCAGCATGTTACATATGCTAAGCTAATCCTAAACCAGTATTCACTTACTCCTCCATGCTGTATTTTTCACGTCTGTTTAAAGAGGGACATTTACAGCACAGCAGGAGCTCACAGTGCTCCCAGACATGGCACAGCATTTAAATCAACACCCTGTGGAATTCAGACGTTATTCGTCAGTCCCAGGAAACCCAGGGCAATGTGAGCCTGAGCACAGCCATCTTTTGCTGTCAAGAAGAGAGGGTTGCCTGCCCCAACCTCAAGCAAACAAAAGATTAAAGGTCTCCACAAACCAGGCCAGCCTTTCTTTGGGAACCTGCAACCTGTGTGAAGCACGGTCTAAGAGGCACAACACTGAACCAAGTTCCCAATTCTGGGAGGTGGTCAAGCCACACTTTCAGAAATTGTGGCAAAGCTGCCTTTATGAGACTGTGGGCTTTCCCCTGTGGTGAGGATGTTTCAAGCTTTTAAAGATGTGGTCACCAACCTAAACTACATACTACCTACAGTGTGGTTTTTTTCGTAACACAGTTTTTGTGCTGAACTCCCATTAGTGATACACTGACCAGTGCTGCAACCTATTCAAAATATTTTGCATAGCAGAAGCACTCAGCAAGCCCAGAACCATACCAAGGACCACATATAAATTTAATTATCCAAGCAAATTAAAACCCCAGGACTTCTTGCTTATGAAAGGTAGAAAACAGAACCTAGCCTCAGCCTCCAAAGGCTTTCAACATCCAGCCCTCTCTACAGCTTGAGACTCTAAAACATACTTTAAAAAATCAGAGACAAGAACACTGACTAATGAAGAAAAAGTTGGCAAAGGTTACTTTCTATATATCAGCCAAAAGAAACTACAGCTAAGAGCTCTTCCCTTGATATGTCAGGCCTAAACAATGGACACAGCTGGAAAGCCGGCACTTCCCTTACTATATGAAGTATTTGGAGTTATCAACCCTTTTCTCTGAGAGTTAACCAGTTACAAAGAACAGCATGCAGATTTTACAAGCTCAGTTACACATGTGATGTGTAGGTTTTCCAGTCCAGAGCTCACAAAGCACTTATAACTTTAGCCAAAAAATAAACCTATATTGTGCATGCAGAGATACACACCGCCTCCCTGCCAGTCAGTCTACCTGAGCTCTGAAAACATGGAAAGTTTAGCCATGGTCAAATACACAAAACTGAACTGTGGGGAAATCATTCTGAAGAACTAAGGGAGGCTTTCCCCTGCCTAAGACCAGCAGGATGGATCCTGGCTGGTTTCCTACAGAAGGTGTGACCCTTCTGGGGAAGATTATGGAGCGGTTCCTCTTAAGGGCACTCACCAGGACATGTGCAGGACAACCAATGAAAAAAC